ACTATCCCAAGTTCATTATTAGCGGAGAAAATTAAGGTTGAAGTTTCACTATTGAAAGTTGTGCCGAAATGTTCATGTGTGACGTCAAAAGTTTTTAAATGTATTTTTCATAATTTTGCAATTGGCTTGGTGAAATTTTCTGAAACTTCGTATGCTAGGTCTGATTGATTACTTGATTGATATGTGGGGTTTGACGTCCCAAAACCACCATATGATTATGAGACGCCGTAGTGGAGGGTTCCGGAAATTTCGACCACCTGGGGTTCTTTAACGTGCACCCAAATCTGAGCCCACGGGCCTACAAAATTTCCGCCTCCATCGGAAATGCAGCCGCCGTAGCCGGGATTCGATCCCACGACCTGCGGGTCAGAAGCCGAGTACCTTAGCCACTAGACCACCACGGCGGGGCATATGCTAGGTCTATGACACCCACAGATGACAATGTCCTTCATTTTTATCGATTATAAGCTATGTAGAACCCAGTAAATACCATCAAAGTTATGTCATGGTGTTTGGTGATACATTTTCTTTGTGCGGTTTCGCACTTGCCAAGTGTCGTGTCGTGGCAAGAGTGGTGCTGTGAAATCATATTTAAATAGTATGCGAAAACTTATTTCGCTCTTTAGTGTCCTTTCAACACCCAAAGAAAAAAAACTAACAAGAATGATGTAGAGTAGCTGACCAGCTCATTCACCTGGCCCAAAGAGAAATGAAAGTCAGTTGAGTTGTAATGTTAGGTGCATCACATTTCAATGCGTATTATCCTCGGAGGATGAAGGATAGGAAGCGTGACACAGAGGACAATTTATTGCAACAGACACACATGTACACTTAAACGATCCCGTGCACTGCTTTTCTCAAACAAGCAAAAAAAATGCAGTCTCACAAGTCTGCAGCACTGTGGTACCTTGCGAGGCGACGTTCATACGCCCGAGTAGAGCACTATGAAAATGTATTTAAACAACTTAGCTGTTGTTCGCTCCGTTAAAAAAGGTTTGCAGTCAAGATAATTGGGTCATTAGCCACTCATTGGAACAAAAGAAATGACATGTCCAGCTTTTGTGGCTACGCTCTTACCATTATTTACTAACTCAATCGGAACAACCAAAACAACCACTAAACAAAGCACATCGGCTTTTGAATGCATCTATGGACAAACAAAAGAATGAAGTATGACCGTTGGATAGGTGCTGATAAAAACAGAAGCGGGCACGCTTTCTTCAGCTGTAGGTGGATGGTACTGTAGCCAGTCGCCGCTGAGCGCAGGCCACGTGCTCACGTTTTTCCTTTCATAAAGGACGACAGTGTATAGCCATTCTGACTATGACTGGTAACGTGGGAAGTATGTCCTCACAAGCTCAATGGCCACACGGCTGAAGGTTGCCCTCATTTACACAACTTGTTTGATGGACATGCGAGTTTCACCATGGTGAACTAAAACTTGACAAACGTATTTGGTATGCTGTGTTTCTTCTCTTTGCGTAGGGGTACAAGCTGTCCAGGTTCTTAGTACTTCAAAGTGAGAGACGCACACTGGCCCAAGCACTACCTCCAACTTCATACTACTGTAAAATCCCGAGAAATCACCCCCTCGACGCTGAAATATGATCTGGAAGGGGCCCCTTGCTTGGTCTCGGACACTGATTCAATATTGAAGTGCCTTTAGAAAAAATGCATACCTGTGTTTCTAATGAAATGCTGTATTGAATACAGACGCATTTACTGTTTTACAGACCCGAGGAAAATCCTTGTGTGAAATTTCAGGTGTTATGACAAGGCGGGAAAGATGTTCTACAAATGTTCAGACAACTTGTGACAACTCAGAATGCAGCCTCGAGGCATCACACTGTAAAAGTGTTAAAAAAATCTTGCGCATATATAAGGACTCTCATAACTTTGGTTCCAAAGAACTGCTGCTGCAGAATTTCGTAGTGGCGAACAGGTTGAAAAATAATTGTGGGAGGGGAGGGGGTGCTTGATCGGTCATTGGCACATATTCGAGATCTCCTGTAATGTAAAACGGGGCGCTTGCTCTGTATTTTACAGTGCCCACTTGCGATTGAAGTTGGAATAGAGGCACTAGCATGTGTTTTTTTCATAGCATTGCCTGGGCTGCACAAGAGGCCCATTGAATGTGACTACCCGTACTACCAATAAACGCTTGCCGCCAATTCAGCTGCTCTATCTGCGAGTGTTCTCTTCACACTATTTTAACTGTGCGATACTTTACAGTAAATATGCACACCTATTTTCATATTTTTGTGTTTCAACCAATTTTGCGTAAATATCTGCCGTCTGAACAAAGTGGACACTTATTACAATTTATTATGAGCGTTTGTGTTTTCATTGCAGCCCAAGCCATGCAGTAAAGGGCATGCATGCACAGCTTACTCACCGCCACCTTTATTTGGGAGTGGAAAGATAGGCTGCTGCTTGAATTTTACAGGAAAATAAAGGAGAAGGTGGGGTAATTTACCATGCCTGTTACAGGTAGGTGTACTTACTGCCAAGGACCTCAGAGGAGGATAAGTGACATTGGTGGAAATGAATCTTCACTCCAGCCAAGTGCATAACGAGCTAAGTCAGGAACATTATTGAAACGAACCACAAGTTAAGCATTTTAAAAACTGCTAATTAAGAATTGTGTTGGCTTCATCATCCAACATTTGGTTGTTTTCCTAATTCTTTTATTTTTCCTGCATCAAAAACCTCAAGCCGAGCATTCTGTTGGTATTACTAGCGCATATGTTTGCAGGTGCTTATTTTGCTGCAGTCTTGGATAGGATATTTAGTAAAAGTACTCAGTGGCATAATGTTTATCTGCTCCCTCGTTTGGTTTTAAGATGCACTTTTTTTCTAGATTTGGACTTGTCTCTAATTGCAGAGAATTCATATTGATCCTTGAGGCGTGTAGTAAATAACAAGTAACTTTTTCAGGCAAAGTTACTTTAACATTTTCGGTCTATGTGGGGTTTAACGTCCCAAAACCACCATATGATAATGAGAGACGCCTAACTTTACATTTTATTGTCAGTAACTTTTATTAAACATTTCTATTTGTCCTGAACATTATTTTTTTGACAGTATAGCTGCATGAGTTCTGCACAATCACATAGAATTAGTTTCCCCAATGAAGATGAAGAAATTTTGTTGATTTGCAAAATGTGTGCACATGGGCCAACTTGAACACATAACCAGCTGTTTCAAACATCCTCCCATGTAGTAAATGTTCCCTGGTGAACTTGTCTTCTAATTCAAACAAATGTGAAAAAAAAAGTCATGGCAATAGGGAAGGACTTTAAAAATCACACTGCTAAATAATGCCCTAAAATTCGGTGATGAACCACACATTAACATGAAAAAAAAACTGGAAGCAGAATTTTGCAAGCACTGTACATCTATGCTGGTTTAGAGAAGAAATAATAAAATTAAGTTCAATGGTTTCATGTCGCCAAACTAAAATCTGGTTATGAGATGCCCTGTTTCACGTGAAAGCTTAATTATTTTGACCTCATAATCTCTCTGAGTGCATGGAACTAGGACACTAGTACATATTACAACTATTATATTGCGACTCCTGAGGTTCGGAATAAATCCTGTGATCTCGTGCAGAACTGCACGCAGTGGCAGATCCAGAAGGGGGGCGCTAGAGGTGATCGCCCCCACACCCCAAAGCCTGGCAGTACCCCCTCCCCCTCTCTTCAGGGCTTGCCGTCCACCTGTTATCACCAATTAGGAAAAATGAGTGGTATTTCTTTAAACACACATTTATAGTATCTATGCAATGATAGAGTTTTTAAGCTAGTAAAAAAAACAATAAATTAATGACCACGCTCTCCTCTTTGGTGTTAACTTAAGCAGCTCCCCTCCTCCTAAAATGCTTGGCTGGATCCACCCCTGACTCCACGACACCATTTCCCTTTACCTTAGGGTCAGAATAGAGATACAGGCTTTCTTTCTTTTAATGGACTACTTCATATTTAAGCATAGAGAGCCGCATTTACACTGATGATTTTTAAAGCTACGTGTAGACCAAAAAGCATGTTATGCGACCGATGGAATAGCGTCCTGTACAAACAAACAGTATTGCTCAAATGCTCTACAGCAGAATACTGAATAACGTCACCGCCTTAATCAATAGCTTAAAAAGAAGCCTCTTCGTGGTGAATGAGAGATGTGACATTATGAGATAATCTCTTTTGGCATCTAGCATCAAACACTATGCTAAGTCGGAGTGAAATATGACAAAAACAGGCAATAATATTACGACTTCCGGGTTGTTCAAATGTCCATAATGAAATGCACAGGCATAAAGAAGAGGATAAATATGGTGCTGCTATATGTACATGCAACAAAGTGGAACCTCAATACTAACTACTTAAATTCAATTAGTTTTATGACTATGGAGATCACCAGCAATGCTTTTACTGAATGATGTTCCCTCTTCATGAGATGCAATAAAACACCACATTTGAATTATACAAGTTTTCTGTTTACTAAGTTGAGGCATTTGTTATTAGATCATTTGTGATGTGTTTGACAATGTGTGCAAATGCATGGCAATTGAAACAGCACCTGTTCAATCAGAGCAAAATACTCTATTCACTGCAGTGAAGTTCAATATGTTGTGACACCATCCTGACATGCTAAAGAAAATCCGAATGATTTGTGACAATCTCTACTTCAGAAGTACTTGAATCTCTAGACATTTAGTGTTCACGTATTAGCAGTTTGTTATAAAAAGATAGAAAAGAAGCTACATAAAGAGTAAAGATAGAGCTTAGTATAACATTGTTCGCAGCACGAGCGGCCGGGGCAGTAGAACCAGTTCTAAACGTTTTTAACGCGACAGCGTTAAAGCTCGTGTCGCAGAAAACCCGCTGCCGGCGTCAGCCCAAGGAGGTTTAAAAAAAACTTCTGGAGTGGAAGCGCCTGCCCTCTGGTGACGCCGACGGCCGCCATGTTGCTCCAGGCAAAAAACGTGCCGTCGGTCGTTTGGGCCCCCGCCGTTTGCGCCACTGAACAACAGTTGTCGCGTTTGTCCCTCGTTCTTTTGTTCTGTGCGGATTTTGTGCAGTTCTAAAGGAAGTTGACACGATTCCGGACGTTATGGTGAGCTCCTGTGTCGCCTTCGGCTGCACTAATCGTGCGAAGCAGAAGCCAGGAATCACTTTTCACGTGTAAGTACGCGGGAAAAAGCGCTTTCAATCGCTTGTCTCCTTTGGCGCGCTACCTCATTCGAGAAGCGCGGTTTCAGCTGAAAACTTACTTTCATTAGCATTTTTCAGCTGGCGAGTAAAAGTTGAATAACCTATTTTGTGCGTGTGGTACCGCAGGTTTCCGAAAGACAAGACGCTGCGTGACGCATGGCAGCGTGCTGTTCGGAGGGATGGCTGGGAGCCTAAGAATGCGGACGTTCTCTGCTCGGAGCACTTTGAAGCCAACTGCTTTGACAGGACGGGCCAAACGACTGCGACCAGGGAGCATTCCTACCATTTTTCCTGCGTTCCCTGCGCATCTCCAGAAACCAGTGAGTACCATCACGAATGTACATTTTCGTTACGGTAAATAGGCTATAGATTTCCGAATGTGTAGGCACAGTTTCTCGTTTCCTACGTGCTGTTCAAAATCACACCACTCTCTGACAAAGCGCACGTCACGTACACTTACTTGTCCAACTTTTTTTTTCACTGTGCGTGCATAAATACGGGCACGCTAAACTTCCGCACCGAAACTATAAAAAGATCCCCGAGGTAGTAATCCCGTTTCTAGTCAGTCTAAGCAGTGGGTGGGACCATTATACCCGGCTTCTGAACTATGGAGCATACCTGATTTTTTTTCTTGCAGGCGAAAAGAAAGCGAGAGGCCCCTAAGTGTCGGACTGCGCTGTCACCTGTCGTCAGTGCTGAGGCAGCGGTTGAAATGCCATCTGAGCCTTCTTCGCCGGCGAAGGATTGGTACCGTTCCAAGGCAGAGGAGTCTGCACAAGAGGTTCTCCAACTAAAGAAGAAAGTTAAGACACTGCAGCAATCCAAAAGAAGGCTAAGCAAGCGGTGTGATGCGTCAGAAAATTTGATCAAGGAGCTAAAAGAGAGGAAACTTTTGTCAGAAAAAGGCCTTGAGGTCTTTGAAGCAACGTTCTCGCCTGAAATTCAACAGCTTCTTGTCCGAGCCCATGAAAAAACAAACAGGATGTACCCCCCAGAGCTACGTGCATTCGCACTCACTCTGCACTACTACTCTGCGGCTGCGTATGAGTATGTGCGGTCGAAATTTAACAACGCTTTGCCTTCGCAACGTACGTTGCGTGAGTGGTACAAATCTGTAAATGGCGATCCGGGTTTTACCTCTGAGCCTTTTGATTTTATTAAAAATTTAGCCAAAAGCCAGGACAAGCCCCTGATCGCAGCACTCATGATGGATGACATGGCCATCAAAAAACATGTTCAGCTTGTTGGGAAGAAAGTGGTAGGCTACATCGATCTTGGAACAGGTATCTCCGATGATAGCCTGCCCGAAGCGACAAATGTCTGCGTTTTTATGCTGGTCGGCATGAATATGCGACTAAAAATACCTCTGGGGTATTTCTTCATGGAGTCTCTTTCTGGATCTGAAAGAGCTGCACTAACACAAGAATGTCTGTCGAGACTCTCGTCAATAGATGTTGAAGTAGCATCATTAACATTTGATGGTGCCGCCTCGAACTTTTTTGGTTGCGTAAGAGGAAAGGGCGGCTATAACATGCTGCTCTGCACTGCTCTCTAGTGAGCTGCCACCACTAACAGCTGTGAAAACAAACGGTGGTCTGGTGGCGCCATCGAAAGACGTCTTGAAGATCTGCCACACTGTGGAGAGAGGGCTTCGTGCCCTACAGGTTCAATGTGAGGACCTAAAATCGTTGCATGCAAACAGTGATCGCCTCATGGTAGAGGTGTTAACGGAGGTGTTTGAACAAGCATTATTTTCTGAGTTAGAGCCTCATCTGTTGGACTGCGATCCACTCGACAATCACATCTACGTTTTGGCGAAAAAGATTGCCAACCTGTATATAACAATCAGGCTTCACCACATTTCCAAAGAAATCAACCGCAAGAACTCGCGCAGTGGGGTACGAACCCAGCTGACAAGGACTATTATATTTAAAAATCTGTAAGGTACAGATGAGAACCAGCGTTGAACAAAGCGGAGCAGCTGGTATATTCTATATTTTTTGCTATTTTAGTGTGTTGTTATAGAGTTGCCTGATATAACCTGCGTTTTGGGAATCAGGCCGTTTTCGTGTGAATTGTTTCTGTTTTATTGTATGTGCTTTTGGAAATTGTATAAAGCCTTGAATGAATAAAAACTCATATACCCCTGTGTTGCTTCCACCGTGAGCCTCATTTCGAGAATTGCAAGCGAATCCGCACTTACAGCAGCTAACCGTTGTAATGCATATTCGCTAATACGTAATCGCGTACGGCTCACGTGTAATATCGTAACTGACGGCTTTGTACAGATCTTGTTTATCTAACACGAAGAAAAAAATGCGAGTGAAATTAGTTACACTAAGTGCCCCGTTTCATTCGAAAAAGCCGCCACGGAAGCGCGCTGGATACGTTGTCTGCGCTCTCTCTTGCCTGGAGCAAGATGGTCGCCAACCGGTTTCCCCGGCTTCACCCGCTTGCGTAGGCGTGAATAGGGGACCTCCACTCCAGAAGTTTTTTTAAACCTCCTTGCGTCAGCCCCGTTGGTTGTGAGCGAAAAATCGTCCGTGCGTCTGTGACCAAAAATTCAACTTACCGAGATAGCCATGGGAGGCCGCTACTTGTCCACGTGTGCGCGCGCGATCATACCAAAAAAACCGCGCATTCGAAGAAAAAAAAGTGCTCAAAGTCACGAGGCGCGGTAAAGTTTCTTTGCCCGGCCACCCCTCTCTGCTTAGCTTCCAGCGCTTTCGTCGGGACGAGAGAAGAGATAATGCAATTGCAGCATGCGACAAACCTTTGTGACTCCACTCGCACTGGGCGGCTTAAAATTTTCGTGGCGTTGAATTCGTGAGGCAATAATCTCTGAATTAATTCCATGATAACTCGAAAAAGTGTTTCAGGACCCCTTTAACGCATTTTGTTCGACAGGTGTCACGATGAAAACGAGCCAATTCGGTGATAATAGCGCGCTGGTCCAATCTACTGTGTGCGTGTTTGTGTGCGTACGTGTGTATGTAACAAAACACATCAATAAGTATGCACTTAGCGGTTGAAGGGTGCACCAGGGGCTAGATTTCGCTATCACGTTCAACTCTTAAAGGCGAAGCTTAAGGGTCCCCCAATTTTTCAGATTTTTTACCTTTCCGTGTTTCTAAAGCAGCACGCGATTCATTAGTTGACCTTGGCTTACCTGTACTTTTCCCGCACTTTAACCGGTCTGGGCTGAGAAGACTGCAGTTACTATGCGTCCATTCTAACAATTTTGAAGGAATATTTCTAGTTTATATTGTTTGCGTGTCTTACATGAGGTCACGCCTGTCGTGGACAGCTTTCTTGGGCGATTTCAAGTTCGGGGAAGAGGCACGTGTCTAGCATGTGCGGCCCCCGCGTCCATGGCCTTGGACTATCAAAGCGCGCTTGACTGAACGGCTACTGTTCTCGCCTCCGAAGTGGGCCATAAAACAACCACGTCCACCAGTGTCAGTGGTTGTTTTTGTGTGTGTTTACATATGTGTGGTGCAAGAAGGAGAGCCCACAGGACTCCCTATGATATCAGTAACCAGTTGTCAGCACCCGAGCTGCGCTGAATGTTTCCTTTTATCGGGGTCAATAAAAGAGTGTTTTGTTGTAATAGCCCGTTTTGTTTAGCCCTTTGATATTTCACAAATTGAGCCATCGAGTCGTAGGGACACTACAACGCCTTTCACGGAGTTTTCTTTTGTCGCCGCCACATAGCGCATATGTCGTTGCCATCTTCATATCTAGCAGTCACTGAAGTAGGCATTACTCGAATATACTACACCAATAACTAGCTTCTCAGTGGTATAAACCCTTTCTCTTTCGTGAGGGGGGGGGGGGCAGCATACCTCACTGGTCAGCAGATTATAATATATATATATATATATATATATATATATATATATATATATATATATATATATATATAACTCATCCCCTGATGAAGGGAGGACACCTCCCGAAACTGTTGGGAAATAAATATATTTATCCTGTTGACAACGCTCCCGTTGTGCCATATCCCATACCTTCACGAAGACTAACTGGCCCATTGAATTATTACTGCCACCATATATATATATATATATATATATATATATATATATATATATATATATATATATATATATATATATATATACATATATATATATATATATATATATATATATATATATATAGAGAGAGAGAGAGAGAGAGAGAGAGAGAGAACTTCATGGAGGACACGCTCGCAGTTGGAATGGAGATGTACCAAGCGTCAACGAGGATACTCCCACGTCGAATGGGGCTCTAGCAGCCAAACACCAAAACATACATTCGGCAAACCCTCTTGTATCAACGTACAGTAAATATTTCATTACCCCTGTAAACGCGCGTTTTATTTTCGTGTTATAGGACGATTCCCATGACGGAGGGATGAACCTTCTTTTTTCAATGAATGATTGCTGTTATATTTGTTCATAACAAGTATTAGACTTTCTTGCATATATTCAGGCCTGTGTGTATCAATTTGCCTTGTTGCTAATAGTCTGAACACTGTTTCTAGAGCGTAGAATCAATATTTATATTGCTGTTGCCAAGTTATACTACTGTTAATAACTTATTATCAACTTCATAACCTTTTTATTTCAAAATATGTAATATGTGGTGTTAGGGCCATACTTCATTCTTCACACTTATTGTATTTGTATTGATATTTCTTAAAAGGCCCCGAGGCACCTGCATAAGTACGCCAATACAAACGGGGTAAACAAGGTTTTCCTTCGCAAGAACAAAATGTGGGCGATGATAACGTTAAACTACCCTCGTTGCTTCATTTATAAATGGTCGTTAGCTGTATATGATTGGTGGAAACAGTCTTTGTGATGTACAGAATACCAGCTTGGTACGCGAGGCAACTATTGACGTGACAATGATTCATCGCGTAATCACCAGTTATGAACGACCACGTAAAAATTAAGAGAATAAACTATTTTCGATTCGGCATATTGTTTTCCATTAATTCTTCGGCATTTAAAATTTTCTGTGGGCCACAATATCGCCAGCTTGTTAAATGACGTCACGAAGCTAGAGAGCATCTCTTTATAAATGTATAGTTTAAGCAGACTTGCTGCCAATCACATAAGCAGCGGCTATTCATAGCAGGTGGCGAGATGGATTAGGAGTATAATAAAATATTTCTACTTGCAGCATAACGGTGTTTAGCAGTTTGTGTGCGCATACATACATCTATGTGAGCTCATACTTTCTGAGAGAAAGAGCAATACAGAGAAATAAGCAGTGCTGCACGTGTGTACTTGCTTCATTGCTGTCTGAGATGTATTTTGAGCTGTAAAAGACAACTCAAGTTGAGGGAAAACCAACTAGCCCGACTCTTAAAGGCCAACTCCGGTCATTTTTCGAGGTCAGCGAATCTCAATGAAATTCACTGGGTACGTTCATTTGTACGTTTGCGCCATTCATATCAAAATGCAGGCTCGAGCGTTTCGCAGATTTTTTTTTCAAATGAATTATATAGCTTGCCTCGAAACGCTCACCTCGCTTGGCAGAATTAATGGCAACATTGTGTGCGTGACGTTGAGTTTTGCCTGGTGGACGTGACGAACTGATGTGCCACTGCAGCGTCTGCTTGTCTGCTATGGATTTTGTAGGTTTGGCCGGCACTTCCTTGGTTGAGCGCGCGATTTCATTTTCCGTGTTGGTGGGCGTGCGATAGGTGCCAAGTCATGTTGCGTTGTGAGCCATAAACGATTCGCCGCATGTTCGCCATAACAGCGTAAGCGTTATAGCCTATCGCCGCGGACGGCGTAGACAGGTAGAGCCATCTGGCGGGAATTGTGTGCAACCAAGCAGGTTTCGGCAGTGTCAGGCAAATCTTTACGTCACACGTAGAAGCACACTCGGTTGGGTTTTGGTTTCGGTATTGTGGTTTTTGAGTAATTAAAATTATTTTTGAATTTTTAGCATTACAGTTATTAGACACGTTTGAAGAGTAGAGTGTATGAAGAACATAAAATTGCAATTATCCTGATATGGTCAAAAAATCACCGGAGTTGGCCATTAACTAAGCCTCCATAGTGCTAAAAACCACGGTCTCTCACCTTGTCCCTAGTCCGGTGAGTCAAGTTGTGAGGCAAGCTTAAAAGCTGAGCTTCCTACGGAGCTCGAGTTCTCTGATTCATGCGTGGCCACTTTGCAAGCTGCCGCAATGGCTCCAAGTTACCATAAGCAAGGCTGATCAGGTTTACCAGATATTAAAGCGGGAACAATTTTTGGCGTTTCAATACGGAAACAATTATACACCAGAAACGATTCATCACACTCATCGGCTCGCAGCAGCTTCGACAGAGCAGTGGTGATGATATATTCTTTTCGAAGAAAATTATTTTCCGAAAGCAGCAATTGCTTTTACCGGCTTTTAAAAAGTTGGCTCGTTCCCATATCCCTAACTGCATCATTAAGTCACAGCAGAATAAAAGCATGAACACGGGATGTAGTATTATAGGGCCCCTGTTCAACGCTTGCCTGTTATGCAATGCAGCACAAGATGCGAAAGCGTCGCATAAGCGATCCTTACCGCAAAAAGCCTACAAGAAAAATTATCACAGCGGAAATGTTGGCAAAATTTCACTATGTTGTAACATTGCCTCGTAACATTTTCATTCTCTAGTAAGAACATATTTGAGTGATTACTGTTGTGACAGAAAACAGTGATTACTGTTGTGAAGAAAGAAAAGTGGGTGGATGGAGGGAAGGCCGCTTTGATAGGTCAGTGGTTAGAGCATCGAACGCGTTATTCGAAGGTTGCAGGTTCGATTCCTGCTCACAGCTGGTTGTTTTTTCACCCACTTTTCTTTCTTCTTATTTACATTCCATTTGTTCTAATAACTTTCCATATACATTCCTTGGCATTACTGTCTGTTAGATCTCATTAATATTGTGCCAAAACACGGAAAAACGAGCCCTTAGGTATACACTTCTTTCCCTTATTCATTAACGAGGGTCTCGTACTGGCAGACTTGGTGTAATTAGATTGTATACGAGGGACTATTGGTCAGCTGCCCGCTCGTAATAAGTCCACGTGCTACGTGACGCCACATATGCGCATAAAAGGGTGTTTCACACTCGCCGCTTGGCTTATGAATGGCGATGACTGACACTCCTAC